ATAGATAGATAGATAGATAGATAGATAGATAGATAGATAGATAGATAAAGAAGATTCGGTTGACTATAGAAATCTATTTTACCTAACAAGGAAGTAAGAGAGGAAGGGTATAAGAGAAAGGGAAGAGAGAGTGACAAAAGGGAAGACATTAAAGGAGGCCGTGGTCAGAAGCAAAACAGACTTCTGTGGAAGGACAGAGTTAAAAGAGAGAGAGAAGGATAAACAGAAGAAAATAGGATGGAGAAAAATACACAGGCTCAAAATTGTGAATGTGAATGAAATTAACTCACCCATAAAAGAGATGCAGATAGCAGAATGGATTAGAAACCACAATCCAATAGTATCTAACAAGAAACACACTTGAAAAAGAAAGACATACACAGAGTGAAAATAAGGGGCTGATGCAGAATCTATCATGCTTCTGCTGAAGTAAAGAAGGCAGGTGTAGCAATCATGATTTCAGATGAAGCAGAAGCAAAAATAGACCTAATTAAGAGATAATCAGGGAAACAACATTTTGCTAAAAAAAAAAATACAATGAAATAGTATCAAAAAATTTTACAGCAAGTTTATCTGATAAAGGCCTCATTTCTCAAATATATAAGGAACTGAGTCAAATTTGGGACATTAATGCATTGTTGGAGTTGTGAACTGATCCAGCCATTCTGGAGAACAATTTGGAACTATGCCCAGAAGACTATAAAACTGCACATATCTTTCAGCCTATTAATATCACTATTAAGTCTGTGCCCCAAATAGATCAAAGAAAAAGGAAAAAGACTTATATGTACAAAAATATTTATAGCAGCTCTTTATGTAGTTTTCCAAAAAATTGGAAATTGAGGGGATGTCCATCAATTGCGGAATGGTTGAACCAGTTGTGGTATATGATTGTGATGGAACACTTATGTTATAAGAAATGATGAGCATGGATGGTTTCAGAAAACCCTGGGAAATCTTATATGAAGTGATACAAAATGAAGTAAACAGAACCAAGAGAACATCGTACACAGTAACAACAATATTGTAATGGTGATCAACTGTGTAAGACTTAGCTACTCTAATCAATATAAATGATTCAAGACAATTCCAAAGGACTCATGATGAAAAACGCTCTCCGTTTCCGGAGAGAGAACTGATCACCTCTGAATACCAACTAAAGCATGCTTTTTTATTTTAATTTTCTTGCTTTTTTAACATGGCTAATATGGAAATGTTTTGCATGACTTCATATGTATAATTGATATATTACTTGCCTTCTCAATGGGTGGGAGAGGGAGAGAATTTGGTACTCAAAGAAATTTAAATGAATATTAAAATAAAGTAAAATTATTTTTAAAAGACAAAGTAATGAGTTTCTTGTCACTGGAAATTTTCAAAAAGCTCATTCCTTAGGGTTTTCCTGCTCAGCTATAATTTGGATTAGATGTCTTCTGAGGTCTCTTCTGACTACGAGATTTGTGTATGTAACCATACTCTAGAGCTAGACTTATCTCCCAATCCACACGCACATTAAAAGGTCCCATTCCCAGAGACAGGTTGGTTGCATCTCCCTCTCAGAGTTTTGGGATTGCCTCTGAGGGGTTTGGAGGTGTTTTTCTAATGCTATTGACTTGAGACCCGGTGTTGGTGTATTCTCCCCAATATCAATCAATCACCAGTGATTAATGCACCAGTATCATTTGACCAATCAACATCAATTAGTAAAAATAATTTGTAGAAACAGAGGCATATTTCCTGACAAGCTATAGCAAGAAATATAGACATTCCCCACCTCTAATACCTTGGAGAACACACTACCTATACTACCTCAATCTCTGGAGATAGTAGGCCCAAACTTAAAGAATTTTCTACCAAGCATTTGCTCCACCAAATTCACTTCTGAATATGTCATAACTGCAAGATGAATTGGCATCTCAGCAGCTTGGCTTCCACCACTTGAGGCTATGTTAAATGCCACAGCAGGTAACAAACTCTGGCCAGGATTCCCATCATTGGATTTCTGGTGGTTCACTCTTGTGACTTTTTTAAGTTTACAAGGTCGTACTCACCTTTAATATTCTAATACTAAAAGCAGGAAAGAATTACACAGAGAGGCAAAGAACAGAGGTTTCTAGTCACAATAACTTATAGGCTCAGGTAGGTTCCAACTATGTCTTCATCTCAGCCAGGCAGAAAAGAAAAACTTTGGCCAACTAGTGCCTTTTGAATACATTCTTAATTCCAGCTCTTCAGCCAATTAAAGGGCTCCTCTTCTTCACATATTAAGCAGAACAAAAATAAGACCTTCACATGGTCTGATCTGTGATACAAGCTCTGTTCATTAACAGATCATTATGACTTTGCAGGAGCACATCCACAACCTATTCTACTACAAGGAGATGGCATCAGCTAAACACCCTGCTCATATTCATGAGGGATGAGTTTGGCCAGTCCCCCATTGCAAATACAATTGTGAAGTACACAAAAGACAAGTAAATGGGAAATATTGAAGAGGATTAGGCCTTCATGATATTTAATAAAATATCAGCACAATTAGTTAACAGCAGGAAGGAAGGAGATAGAGAAGGTAAGGCCCAGAAGATTAAAAGCAAAAAGAAAGTCAAAACATTATGGAAGACATGTATGTAAGAATCTGATGTGCAGGTCTGTGAACCAGGGCATTTAGAATAACTAAGACAGTGAAGGAATTAAAGTCTTTAAAGATAATATCTGGGGGGAATGAATTTTCTGAACCTTGAAGTAAGGAAACCTCAATATGGGAGACTTCAACAACATTTATTCAACTCCTACTATCGAAAATGGTTGCCTGCCAGACCTAGAGGAGCCCCTAATTCCCACAAACTCTTCAAGAAAGTTCTGAAAGAGCACCAGAAGCAATAATGTCAAGAATATCAAAGAGAAGCATCTAGAAGTCTTTCACATAGTTCAGGACAGTACAAAAAGACTGCCAGAATCCTTCAGAAGCTCCAAACCTTCAGAGACAAACCAGGGAGGCTAGAAAACAAAATGCACAAGCATCATGAGCCTAGCAGGAGACAGACAGACAGACTCACAGAGAGAAGGACAGGCAGACAGGACCAAGCTGCACCCAGCTGCCCCATCCAGAGCCATACCAGGGAAGAGGATGAGATAATACCTTTGAAGCAAAGCACCTCACTTCTTCCAGGAAACCTCCAGCACAATCAACAGCATCTGGTTGGGGACTGTCCAGGTCACAGCAAGGGATGGAGCCAGTTCCAAGTTCAGGATTGCATAAGGAGAAGGAGACAAGAAGCCAAGGCTTAAACTTGAGTCAAACCAATAGGAGATCGATTCAAAACCCAGAAATTCTTGCAAGAAATGAAATATGCACATTCAAGAGTAAAGAAGCAAACAGTCTGACCTACTCACAACATTCCAATGTAGAAACCAAGGATGGAGGAATGAGTAAATGCCTACTATGCACAAAGCATGGGGATGGGGAGCATGGCCTAGGACCCAAATAAGACAGGACCTTCTTCCTTCAGTGAAGAATACAGAACAGGAACAGGACTCAGCCCAAAGCTAGAGGACCAGACTAAAAAAAATTAAGAGCAGTAGTACCTGGCAAACATCCATACTTCTGTAAATTGTTTAATGCTGTTGGGGGGAAAAATGAGATCTCCCAAAGCTAAGAATCCCTTCACCATCAAAGGACATTGTATCTGGGGCCGCCTAACCCCGGTTTAACTAAGGGGAAGTAGTGGGGGGAGGAAGGAAATCTCCTGGTCCTGTATTTGTTGCAGTAATAGCAGCTTGAGAATTCGAATAAACATTCCCTTAGATAAAAACACATTCAGATCTCCCCCTCATAAAATCAGTCTTCAAGGTAAGGAAAAGCAGTCCAAGAAAGGAAAACAAGTGAAAGCTAAAGGAATGAAAATTAAAAGCAGACAACACTAAGATTCTCTTGGGTCTCCAGAAGAACTAAAGTCCTAAAAAGTCACATTTTTCTTACCCAAAGTTCCACAAATGGGATCAAGCCACCTGGGGATAAAGTTAACTCAAATTGTCCCGGGTCAGTATCTTCTTTGCTCTTTGCTTGCTACATTGCTGACTAGTTTTGTGGGAGCATGAGATATTAACTCATGCCTCTCTAGTTCCGCCAGTGTCCTGAACCACCATGGGGGGGGAGGGGAAGGGACCTTAGAAAAGACAAGTTGAGGAAGAATAGATGAGAAGGGCCCTCCTCCCTGCTCCTCCTCCCCCCTTTATTACCCTCCCCTATCCTTCCCTTCCCCTCCTTTACCCCACTCCCCTCACCTGATAGATCACCAAGGATCCTATGGGCACATGCATGGGGATGTGTGAGAGAGGAAAAGTCAACACAACTGATGTATGCATTGGGAAAATGTGTACAATATGTGACACCAGTGGACCTCACCTCCAGGAAGGGGGAGGAAAAGAAAAGTCAGCACAACTTTATAACATTCAGAGGGGAAGATATTCATGGCTAGAGACACTATCTCTGAGGACATTCCAATTACTACAGGCTTAATCTCTATGGAGTATAGTCCTTCAAAGGAAAAATGGATATTTAATGAAATAGAAGATTTTAAAGCATTCCTAATGAAAATACCAGAAATGAATAGACAATTTGACTTTCACATACAAGACTTTAGAGAAGTATAAAAAGGTAAACATGAATGAGATATTATAAGAGAAATCAAAAGGGTTAAACTGTGTAGCTTTCTATAAGGGAAGATGATTTGTGTATCTTCTATGAGCTGTATCATTACTAGAGAAGTTAGAAGGGCTCTAAATAGAAGAAGGTTGTAGGAGTGAGTTGATTATGTTGAGATGATATAAAAATAGGCAAAAAAGAGGAGAAGGAGAAAGAGAAAAGAGAGAGAGAGAATGGGTAAAATTGTCTCACATAAAAGAGGAACCCAAGGAAGAACTTTTACAATGGAAGGGGAAATTGGGGGGGGGGATGGGCAATACTTGAACCTCACTCACATCCAAATTGTTCCAAAAAGAGAAAATACATACACACACACACACACACACACACACACACACACATACACACACACTCAATTGTTAATTGAAATCTATTTTACCCAACAGGGAAGTAGGAGGGGAAGGGGATAAGAGAAAAGGGGAGGGTGAAATGGTTGGCAGATAAAAGAAGGCATTGGTCAGAAGCAAAACAGACATCAGAAGAGGGAAAGATTAAAAAAAGAGAGAGAAGAACTTAGAATGGATGGAAATGCAATTAGTAATCATAACTGTGAATGTGAATGAGATGAACTCACCCCTAAAACAGAAGCAGATAACAGAATAGATTAGAAACTAGAATCCAAGAATATGTTTTTTACAAGAAACACACTTGAAACAAAAAGACACATGGAAAGTTTAAAAAAGGGAATGGAGCAGAATCTATTATGCTTCATCTGAAGTAAAAAAGGTGGGGGTAGTGATCATGATCTCAGACAAACCAAAAGCAAAAATAGACCTAATTAAAAGAGATAAGCAGGGAAACTACATCTTGCTAAAAAGGAATCATAGACAATGTGGTAATACCAATACTAAATATATGCAACAAATGGCATAGCATACAAATTCTTAAAGGAAAAGTTAAATAGATTACAAAGGGAAATATTAAAAATGTACTCATGTGGGACCTCAACTTTCCCTTCTCAGAGCTAGATAAATCCAACCATAAAATAAGTGAGAAAGAAGTCAAGCAGGTAAATAAAATCTTAGAAAAAGTAGGTATGACAGACCTGTGGAGAATACTGAATGGGAATACAGAGGACTATAGACAGTTCTCACTTTAGGTAAATTGGCATTACACAAATTCAACTTAAGGAATTCTAAAAGAAATCTGCATTCCACAAAAATATCTATGTTAACTTTACTATACAGTATTGTGCTCTTTCTCTCCATTCCTGCCCTTTCATTCAGTGCTCCCTGGCCTCCCATCTCTAATGCACCAAAAAACAAAAAAGAAAACAAAACAAAACCTCTCCAATTGAAAGCAGAAGAAGAGATACACAGAAAGACCTCTGCCACCATTGATGGATCAGGGTTTGGCTTAAGACCTCCAATACTGAGAGAGGAGACCCTTGCCCCACTCCACCCACCCTCCTTCTTGTCCTGCCCCTCCATGTCTGTCTTCCATCCATATATACTTGGTTATAATATATCTGTTCCTAGCCCTCACATGTTTCCCATACTTGCTCTCTTGTCTGTATCCGTGTCTGGCCTGACTTGTCTTCCTTCCACATGTTCCCACATGGCTGGCCATGGTACCCATGTGTTCCTCCTGCCTTTGCTTCTTTGTCCCCATCCCTCAACTGTCCGTGGTACCTTTCTTACTTCTGACCTTCTCTTCCTTCCTCACATCAGTGGGCAAATTTGCAGTATTTTAAAATTGTTTTACATAAAAGTCTATGAAACAGTCCAGTTATATATATTTTTTTAAACTGCATACCTTTTTCTCAGCTGTACACTTTCACAAAAATTGACCTGTAAATCTATGCATATTCTTTGACCCAGCAATACCACCACTAGGTCCATATCCCTTAGAGAGCAAAGAAAAGGTAAATGAACCTATTCATACAAAAATATTCATAGCAGTTCTTTTTGTGAGGGCAAAGAATTGGAAATCAAGAGGATCCCCATCAATTGGGAATGGCTGAACAAATTGTGGTATATGATTGGGATGGAATACTACTGTGCTATAAAAAATGATAAGCAGGATGGTTTCAGAAAAACCTAGGAAAACTTATATGAATTGATGCAAAGTGAAGTGTGCAGAGTCAGGATAATGTTGTAGAGCAATGTTATAAAGATGATCAACTGAAAAAGACTTAGCTACTCTGATCAAGAATCTGATCTAAGACAATTCCAAAAGACCCATGATTAAAAATGGCAGTCAGTATCAGAGAGAGAATTGGTAAACTATGAATGCAGATTAACAATTTCTGGGGTTTTTTATTTTCTTTATGGTTTTTGTTTTATTTTGTTTGTGGGTTTTTTTGTCAACATGGCTAATATGGAAAAATGTTTGACATGACCTCACATGTGTAATCAAAATAAAATTGCTTGCCTTCTTAAGAATGGAGGAGGGGTGAGAGAGAGGAAGAGAATTTGAAACTCAAAAATTTCAAAATAATTGTTAAAAATTATTTTCCATGTAATTGGGAAATATGTAACAAATAGATTTTAAGAAAAAAGAATAGAGGAGTGGAGAAAATGCTGTGACAGAGAGTGGTATTCCAAGGAGAAAATATTTCCTTCAGTTTCCTCATCTATAAAATGAGGGAATTAGACTCTAAAGTCCCTTCCAGCTCTAAATCTATGTTCCCAGGATTCTATGACTGGCTGGTAGCTATGTGCAAAGGAATCTCAGGAGGACATGAACATTCTGTGGTGCTTCAGCTGTCAGGAATCTACAGAACTGGTAGCTAGGCTCTGAGCCATGGCCACAGGATTACTAAAGAGTCAAACATAGGAGAGTCTCTTAAATTTGGACTCAGTGCCCACACTGACATCTGTCTACCTGGCACATGGCTTTTCTGGGCAACTTCAGCTTCTCTCCCCATGTCTCTGTAACACTGGACCCAGAACAGTAGCCATAGGGGTTTCCCATCCTCCATACACACCAACATCCACACCCACACCCATTAATTATCTTTGTGGAAACCTCCAGCTCTTACCCTCTGTGATCTCATTCTCTCAAAAACCCCATGAGACAGAAAAAAGGGAACTGTCAGGACTCAGATGCCCCATTGGGTTTCAATCCCATTTTTAGACTGTGAGGCAATGATGTGGAGATATTTTCACACCTCTCTTACTAACTCTTGGAAAGGGGAAACTGATGACTAAGTAAGATAGGAGGGCTTAGCATATAGTGGTGCTGCAAGCCCATAGAGGTGCAGAAAACTCAGTTCAACAGCCAGAGACCCTGCCTGATTATGTCATTCTTCACCTAGACCCAGACTCAGTCCTCTGTGAAACCCCATCCATTTGGAAAAGCTCTAGGGTAAGTCAATCAGGTAGGCTTGGGCAGACTTGCACCTTTTTTCTCTTCTAGAGAGCAAAGTGAAAAGGGCATTTTAGCAGAAAATATGGGTTCAGATTGAGTTCTTACTTACTATAGGAGTGACCTTGAATAGATCACTTCCTCTTTCTAGACCTTGACTTCCTTATCCATAAAATGAAGGGGTTGGAGAGATGATCTCTAAGTCCTCTTCAACCTCTGAATATTATGATCCTATGAGCTTCTAAACAAGTCATTTCATCTCTGTGAGGTTTGGTTTACTCATCTACAAAATTTTTTTGTGAGTAGACTGTGGTCATCAGTCACAGTAGACCTAGCTCATGGAAAGGACATTCAGGTGGATACTGGTGTGTGGGAGGGAAAATGAAGTTAAGAGGGCAGGGGATTTGGCACTTAGATGGGAAGAGGAGTAGAGGTAAAATTTTGTATTGTCGTGTCCAGGAATAGAAAAGATTCCAGTTCTGAGGGGTCAGGAGGTACAAGAAAAGATGACAGAGAAGAGTAAAGGGTTGTGTACTGAAATACCCACAGAAGCTAAACTCAAAGGTGCTAAGGAAGCTGAAGGAAGTCCAGGCAGAGCAGTGGACAATGATGGACAGCTAGCAGTAACAGGGGATGTAGGACAGGAGGCACAGAAATACAGAGGCCAAACCAATCTGTAGAGTAGGAGTTAGCGTACAGGGCTGAAAGTCTTGGCAAATGATGGGCACAAGAATTGAAAGGACAGGATGTGAGGAGGGAATGGCTACAAAGCTTCAGTTGTCTAAGTGTAGCAGTTCTAACCAGAAAGAAGGGGTATAGGATGCTCAGGGATCCCTGAGCCAGGGCACAGCACAGAGCAAGGAAAAGGGATCTGAAGAGTCTAAAAGAAGGAAGGATATGATTTGAGCTGATGGAAATCGTCTTATACGGGGCTGCTCTAAGATCCAGGGGCTGTATCTAAGGGAAATGGAGACAGAACCCCCAGGCTGGGCTGAGAGAGGTATAAGATGAAATATAGGAAAGAAGAGAAAGGACTAGGGAGGAAGAGTCCAAGAATAGAGAGAAATGACAAAAGATGATCTGATTGGCAATATTGATCAGAATGGAGTTTGGACACAGAAATTGAGGAATCAAGGGCATGAGACT